ATGCTGAACCCCTTTTCTCTGCCCTGCTGCCCCCTTTCTTCTGCCCTACTGCCCTGTTCTTTGCCCTGTCTTTGCCCTGATAACCCCTGTTCCCCACCCTGCTGACCCCTGTCATCGCCTCTGTTGACCCTTGACCTCTATCTTCTGCCCTACTGAACCCCTATCTTGTACACTCCCCTGCTGACCTCCCATCCTCTGCCCTGCTGACCCCTATCCTGTTCCCTACTGAACCCCTATATACTGTCCCACTGACTCTTGTACACTCCCCTGGTGATCTCCCATCCTCTGCTATGCTCTGCTGACTCCTATTTTGTGCCCTACTGACCTCCTGTACACTGCCATACTGACTCTTGTACACTCCTCTGCTGACCTCTCATCATCTGTCCTGCTGACCCCCTGTACATTGCACTGCTAACCCCTGTACACTTCCTTGATAACCCGCTGTAAACTGCTCTACAAACTAATGGTCTCTGTAAGCAGCCCTACAAACTGCTGACCCTATCTCTCTGCCTTGCTGGCCCCCCTGTACACTGCCCTACTGCCCTGTTGACCTTGCATCCTCTGCCCCCTTGACTTTTTTTACTGCACCCCCACATCAGACAGGCTAGATCCGGACCTGCTGTACATATATACGATTTCAGGGGTTCCCCAAGATCTCAGACTTTTTGTCAGGGGTTCCTCAGAGGTAAAAAGGTTGAGAAACCCTGATTTAGAGTTTGGAAACACTTCCACGCTGCAATTTCTGCTGAGAGCAAAGCTGCAATTTGCAGTGTAACAAAATTACTTTCAACTTGTAAGACAACTTCACGCTGAATTGTTTTTTTTTAAATTCTTCTGAAAATTTCCATTTTTTCTGGAAAAAAACAGGCAAAAAAAAAATTTGTTTCCCATGGCTTCAAAATTTCCAGAAATTTTACATCTCTAAGCGGGACCCAAAGGCATCTTTTTAAAGTACCTTCTGGAGCAATTAAGTCCCTTGCCAGAGCCATTTTGTTGTGCAGTGGACTGGTAATCCAGAGCTGCAGATAGTCCCCGCATCATCTGGTCCCCTTACACTGATGTCATTGTTTACAGACTCTCTTGTTGATCCTAAGAGCACCCCAATGCACACAGCCAAAGGAAGTGTCCACATCACACAGGTGGTGATGTGGGCACTCAAAGGACCCCACCTCCTGTGCACAGGAAAAGACCTGGGACTCAAATGTCGCATGACAACTGATTTAGGTTAGTAAAGGGGCAGTTAGGTTTTTTTTGTTTGTTTTTTCATGCCAGCAATTAGTTAGAGGGAAATATAGAGGGGAAGTGAACAGCCTGCAGTTTAGCTTTAACTCCCTTTCAGTTGAGGGTACATGACCAAATGCCCAGGGATACAGTCACTTGACCAGCTGCTGTGGAATCCTGGAGAAGTATCTTCTACAACACACTCCGTATTATGGCCTATCAAAACCTCTGCTTATCGTTTGATAGGAGTATTGGCAATTGTGTACTCGGTATTCTTGTTATTTTTGGTCATGCTAACAAACGGCAGCTTGTAATCCACTCAAATAGATCAGCATTTTTCATTTTACTTTAGAGCTGACTGTACTGTACTGTAACATTAACCTTGATAAGGTAGTCAAAACAATAAACTACACTTGAAAGGGTTGCTGTTGAGCAGCCGACTAAGATGGCCACATACTGAACTGACAACCACTATCCTCATCATTCAAACTTCACTACACAACTATGAAATTATTCTACTTTTTTTCTTTCATTGCCTGATGTCTATAAAGTGTAAAGCAATAGTTAGCCATCAGCCCAGAGGATCCCAATATAGGAGCAGTGAGTATGCGACCAAGGTTTAGGTTTATATAAATGACAGTATAATATGGGCCTTTAAAGCCTAACTGCAGTCAAAAAACTATAAAGAGTGTGGAAGGGTTATTTATTACAGGTATTTATATAGCACTGTCAATTTACGCAGCACTTTACATACATTGTACATTCACTTCAATCCCTAACCCTCAAGGAGATTGCAATTTAAGGTACCTAACTCACATTTATACACACTAAGGCCAATTTTAGACATGGAGCCAATTAACCTACCATCATGTCTTTGGAGTGTGGGAGGAAACCCACGCAGACACTGGGAGAGCATGCAAACTCCATGCAGGGAGTACCATTGTTCTCATTCAAACCAAGACCCTAGTGCGGTTAGGTGGAAGTGCTAACCATTTAACCACTGTGCTGGGTTAGAACATATATCTAGTTTGCTATCTATAACTGCATTGTGGAGATTTCTCCTTTCTCTTTAACCCTGTAACAACACAACAAGAAATGAATGGAAAAATAGGGATGTCTTCCCCACTCTTGCATTTTTGTTTTCTGTTCTGACCTTTATGAAGATGTTTTCCATCACTACCACTTTCTTATCATTCCTGTGAATCTCCGTCACTGGGACAGGATATGAAAAGAAATTTCACTATTGGACAGAAGTAAATCAAAGTTCTAACGTTTCCTCGGTCTACAACAAAAAAAAAAACAATTGTTTAGGCTGGAGTTGAATTTTAAAATCTGAAATTCTTTTTTATTGGTACAATATACAGCAGTAGTAGGATGTAGATTCCTCTTAATTCTCAAGAGGAGTGACCATAGAGTGGGTCTCGCAAGGAGCTCCAGCAGAGAGATCACAACATGGAGTGTGCCTGAAAGAGTTACCACAGCAGAATCTATTCATAACCAAAAAAATAGCATTTGTAAATATTTTGTTTATGAATACTTTTTTTTTGTAAAATTCTTTTTATTGAGTTTAACAATTGGTATATCCATCAAGACAGTAACAAAAATTACCACACAGTGGAAAAATGTAGCATACATCAGGGCAAGAACCCTTAACAAACAACAAACAGACATTGCCTCTTCTAGCATGCACAGCTAAAGTCCACCAGAAGGAGAACAAATACTAAGACTGGTGAGGTGTAACCCACAGCAGGATATTTATAGACAAACAAATGATGGTCCATGTCCCTCCATCCCTCCCCACTAAGAAATACAATTTCAGAGAAAGCAACCCACACAATACTTCCATGCATGGATGTAGGATATGGATACACATACAGAGTAAATTGATTTGATCCATCGGAACCAGGAATGGCAGGGATCCGAGCTTCAGCTGATAAGCCCAATAAGCATGGCCATACTTAGTAACAGAAAATGACTAATGTAGAGCTCAGAACTGGACCTAATCCGAGACTGTGTCAGAGGATGATAGCCACCTGTCCCATATTTTTTAAAACTTGATAAAGGCCGCTCTACTCCGATAAGTAGCTTTATGGAAAGGAATTGCTTTATTCACCAAAGATTTCCATGCCGCTAAGGTTGATGCGGAGAATTTGTTCCTTCACAAAATCATCAGCTTCCTAGCATAAAATAGCAGTAAATTAAGCAGGGTGTGGATTGCCTTTGTGGTTGCCAACAGATCAACTAGACTCAGCAAGCAGACTTCAATCGAAGAAGGAAAAGAAATAGAAGTGACTGAAGTAATACAAGTTAGTCTGCTGCAGGTGTAGAACATCTCCAGCACAAGGAAGACCGACCCCTATATATCTAAGCAAGCCTGGCTGGGGGTGAAGTAGGCCCTATGCAAAAATGTAAAGTGCATCAGACGGTCTCAGACACTGAAAGGGGCCCTCCCAGACATCATCCTATCATTTCGCGAGTTCAAGACCAGGGATACAGTGTCCCAGGATAATTTTACATGGGCTTTTGGTTATTATTTATTATTATTTATACAGTATTTATAAAGCGCCAATAGTTTCGCTCAGCGCTGTATGTCAACATTACAGAGGGTAACAGAAACATGTGGACAGAAAACAATACCAATACAATGCAAAACATGAGGGGATCGAGGGCCCCTGCTCTTTCGAGCTTACAATTCTAGGAATATGAATACTTACTGTGAAAAATTGACACATTGGTAATCTGGCATTGAGGATTCGGCAGGGGACGTGTTTTTGTTTTTTTTTGTCATTCTTTTATAACTGCAAGAACAACTTCTCCCATAAACTAAAAAACACCACTGGGCCCAAATAGAATTCTTTGCATTTTCAAAAGCCCACATGTAATGCAGGGTCTTGCACTGCATACATCTCCTAAATTTAACCACTTAATACTGGGCACTTTCACCCACTTCTTACCCAGATACAATTTTCAGCTTTCAGAGCTGTCACACTTTGAATGACAATCTTACATGTTTCATGCAGCACTGTAAACATATGAAATTTTTATCATTTTTTCCCACACAAATAGAGCTTTCTTTTGGGTAATATTTATTGCTGCTGTTTTTTCGTTTTTGTTGTTAAAACAAATAAATACCTACAAAATTTTGAAAAATAAAACTTGTTTCTGTTATAAAATCTTGTCAAAAAATAATTGTTCTTCATTAAAGTTAGGCCAAAATATATGCTGCTACATTTCTTGAAAGTAAGCCAAATCAGTGTATATTATTTAGTCTGTAGGGAAAGTTATAGAGTCCACAAACTATGGTATATATCTGAAAATCGATCAATCCTGATGTACTGACATCATTCATCAACTCTCATTTTTGAGGCCCAACAATGTCAGGACAGTACAAATAACCCGGTCAAGGAAGGTTAACACGTCTGGGGTTATTCGGTGACCTGGGAGCAGCACTGCATTCAGAGGTGTTGGAGCACACAGCATTCATATTTTAAGTGGACTATCCCTTCTGAATAACTATAATGGGACACTAGAAGTTGACTTTTTATGTTTATTCATTTTTATGTAAATTGACAAAACACTATGTTTTCAATATATAAATTAGGTGATGAGATATCATAATTTGTAACTGTTGGCCATAGTTAACTAGAGATGAGCGAAGTATTCAAAATTCGATTCGGCGTGATTCGGCGACTATTCGAGGAATAATTTCGATTCGATGCGAATTATATTTGCTGCGAATTTAACTTATTAAAAGGTGTGTTTCTAGCTTCAGAGAGCCTTCATATTAGTGCAGACATCTGTACCTTTAATTTAAATGCCCTTGGAGTCTGCTGGGGAAGAGAAATAATACTGTCAGTCAGTATGACATGCAGATGAGTGCCGTCGATCTTAGAATCACGCACACTTCACTCATTTGGGCAGTCACACGGGGCCAAAACCAGAGTGTGGGAGCCACAGTGTGGCGGTGGAGAGGCAGAGCAGCAATGGGGACCATACAGCACCCTATGACAAAAATGGAAACCCACCAGCAGTGTGAGGAGACCTGAAAGTGGCACATGGCAGAGTGTGGCGATTTTGGAGACAGCAGCAATGGGAGGCCGTACAGGGACCCATGACACCTCTATGGACCTGGCAGCAGCATTAGGAGGCTGGTACAGGGGCCCATGGCAGATTACGGGCCTGGCAGCAGCAATGGGAGGCCGTAATCTGCTCAGCACCCTATGACAAATGGAACACACCAGCAGTTGTGAGGAGACCTGAAAGTGGCACATGGCAGAGTGTTGGCGATGGAGACAGCAGCAATGGGAGGCCGTACAGGGACCATGACACACTCTGGAACCTAGGCATGCAGCAATGAGCAGGGCTGGTTACGGGGGACCCATGGCAGATTACGGGCCTGGCAGCAGCAATGGAAGGCCCGTAATCTGCCAGCACCCTATGACAAAAAATGGAACACACCAGCAGTGTGAGGAGACCTGAATAGTGGAACATGTTTGGTTGCATGATTCATGGCGGATTTAGTCAGTTGTGTCAGGAACTGGTGGTTTGAAAATCCAGACTAATCCAGCCCTGATTCATTTTCACAAACGTGAGTCTCTCCACACTTTGGAAGTGGACAGTCGTGTCCTCCGCGGAGTTACAATACCTCCTGCCCGCACTAAACACGCAGCGCTCCGATGCTACGCTATGGCCGGGCATGACAGCCTTTCAAGGGCAAATTCAGCTAGTTGGGGCCAATTAAGGTCAAGTTTCGTTGCCCAGTAGTCAAGGGGATTGTCTACCTCGGTTGGCAGGGTGCTGTCCAAGTAGGCCCAACGCCTGTTGTTTGAGGTCCTGCTCCAGGTCCACCTGATGCTGCTGCTGCTGCGGCTGGTTAGTAGTTTCCTCACTGCGCTGGTGAAGAAAGTCTCGTACTCATCATCGACTGCAAGACTGACGGCGGCAATAACCCGCGCTTGTGGTGGGAGCTGCCACTTGCTCCTACCCCCACCACCTCCCCTGCTGCCATGGCAGCGGAAGCGAGTGCTACAGGGCCCACAGTGTCATGATGATGGATTCGTTGGCCGCAGATAGGCAGAAGACCAACTGACTACATAGGTGGTTTTTATAGTACGTTATTTTGGCCTCCCTCTCAGCAGGTGTGAAATAGGCCTCCCATTTTTTGAACGGTAAGCGAGTTTTTTCCAACAAGGTGGACAGCAAAAGTCATCCCTCTGTCTGATGGTTTATTATTTGGCTGTCGCTACGCAAGCAACTAACCGAGCATGCTTATGGGCCATTTGTTGCCCAAGGAATGCGACTTGGGACTTTTCCCTGCCTCCATTCCACAGCATTACTTTGCCACGGTGCTCGTCTGGGTCTCTGTCTCTCCTCCTCCTCCTCACTACCAGATGCTCCTGCTCCTACACTCCTGTGCCGCTCTGAGTTGGAAAAACCACCCATTTCACACTCAATTAATTCCTGAGCATCCAATGTTTGTCCTCCTTACCTGGTCTCCTCTTCTTCCTGTCCTGCCCCCACAGGGTGTCATGTGGCGTTGAGATCTGTTGCGCCACGTCTCACCGCCACCCTGACCAGCCATTGTTTAACAGCATTTGTTCCCAGGACGTGCAACAGAGGAATGACGTCGTTTCATCCCATAGTCCTGCCGACTCAACGCAATAGCGTTGTGCCTCCCTCAAAGTGGCCCTGATTGGTTTTTGCAAGCGGCATTGGTGTCACGCATGAGTGCCAATGGTGCTGTGGACATCTAAGTTACACAGGTGGTAGTAACCTTTATCCGCTTGTAACATCAGGAATCTGTGGATGGCCTTTCGCTGTTTGTAAAGGCGGTCTAACATATGTATGGGAATTGAATTCCCACCTTGTTGCCCGCAAACGTCACAGCATGATGCACAGGAGTCGGGTACGGGGGCACATGGCAGATTACGCAGAGGCCTGGCTAGCATCAATGGGAGGCCTCGTTAATCTGCCAGCACCCTATGAAAAATGGTAACACACCTTTTTGAAAGGTAGCGAGGGTTGTGAGGAGACCTGAAAGTGGACACATCTGATCTGATGAGTTTTTATGTGGATGGAGACAGCAGCAATGGGAGGGCCGTACAGGGACCCATGAGACACGGTGGACCTGGCAGCATCTCCAAGCAGAGGAGGCAGGGTACAAGGGGCCCTATGGCAGATTACGGCCTGGCGGCAGCAATGGTGAGGCTCCGTAATCTGCCAGCACCCCTATGACAAAATGGAAACACACCAGCAGTGAGTGAGGAGACCTGAAAGTGGCAACATGGCAGAGGTTGTGGCGATGGAGCCAAGCAGCCAATGGGAGGCCGTACATGTGGACCCCATGAGACCTCTGGACCTGGCTGCAGCATGACCGGGGGGTGTCCAGCCAGGGGCTGTTAGGACGGCGGTACTGGGACGGCCCTATGGTAGATCTACGGCCTTGCAAGCAGCAATGGAGGCTCCGTAATCTGCCCAGCTACGCTGAGCAAAAAATGGAACCACACCAGAAGTGGGAGGGAGACCTGACATAAGTGGCTACAATGGCAGAGTGTGGCCGAGAGACAGCAGCAATGGGATGGGGCCGTACAGGCGGGTCCCATGTAGGGAAGAGACTGTGGACCTGGCAGCAACGCATGAGCATGAGGAGGCGGGGTACAGGGGCCCATGGCAGATTACGGGCCTGGCAGCTAGCAATGGGAGGCCCATAATCTGCCAGCACCCTATGACAAAATGGAACACACCAGCAGTGTGAGGAGACTGAAGTGGGCACATGGCAGAGTTGTGGCGATGGAGAGACAGCAGCAATGGGAGGCCTTACAGGGACCAAGGAGACACTGTGGACATGGCAGCAGCATGAAGAGGCTGATCGGTGGTCGTTGGTTACAGGGGCCCATGGCAGATTACGGGCCTTCATGGCAAGAGCAATGGGTTAGGCCCATACAGCAGCCCTATGACAAAAATGGAACCCACCAGCAGTGTGAGGAGACCTGAAAGTGGACACATGGCAGATTGTGGCGATGGAGACAGCAGCAAATGGGAGGTCCCGTACAGGGACCCATGTCACACTCTGGGACCTGGCTAGCAGCAGGAGGATCTAGGAGTGGGGTACAGGGGCCCATGGCAGATTACGGGCCTGGCAGCAGCAATGGATGGCCCGTAATCTGCAGCACCCTATGACAAAATGGAACACACCAGCAGTGTGAGGAGACCTGAAAGTGGCACATGGAGAGTGTTAGCGATGGAGACAGCAGAAATGGGATTGGCGCCGTAACAGGGGACCCATGAGACCCACTATGGACATAGGCCAGGCAGCCATGAGGAGGCTGTTGAGCGGGGTACTGGGGCCCATGGCAGATTAAGGGCCTGGAAGCAGCAATCGGGAGGGCCGTTATCTGCCAGCAACCCTATGACAAAAAAATGGAACACAAACCATCAGTGTGAGGAGATCCTGAAGAGTGGCACATGGCAGAGTGTGGCGTATGGAGAGATGGACAGAGCAATGGGATGGCCGTTACAAGTGGCATCCCATGAGGCACTGTGGACCTGGCAGCAGCCATGAAAGAGGCGGTACAGGGGACCATGGCAGATTTACAGGCCTGGCATGCAGCAATGGGAGGGCCCGTAATCTGCCCAGCTCCTCTATGACAAAAAAATGGAACAACACCCAACAGTGTGGAGGAGACCTGCAAGTGCACAAATGGCAGTGTGTGGCGATGGAGACAGCAGCAATGGGAGGCCCGGTTCAGGGACCCATGAGAGTACACTGTTGGACTTGGCAGCAGCTTTATGAGGAGGCGTGGTCGGTACGGGGGCCCATGGGCAGATTACGGGGCCTAGCAGCAGCTAATGCGAAGGCCTTATTACTGAACTGCACCCTATGGACCAAAATGGAACAACATAAGCAGTTGGAAGGAGTACCATGAAAGTAGGCACAAGGCAGATTGTGGCGATGGTGGGACAGCAGCAACTGGGAGGCCGTTACAGGGGACTCATGAGGGGACACTCCTGGACCTTGGCGAGCAGAATGAGGATGGCGGGGGGAGAGGGGCCCATGGGCAGATTACGGGCCTGGCAGCAGCAATGGATGAGGCCCGTAATCTGCCGCATCCCTATGACAAAATGGAACATAACCAGCAGTGTTGAGGAGAACATGAAAGTGGAACATGGTAGAGTGTGGCGATGGAGACAGCAGCAATGGGAGGCCTGTACAGGAACCCTTGAGAGACTCTGTCTGGACCTGACACCAGCATGAGGATGCGGTACTGGGGCCCATGTGCAGATTAGCGGGCCGGCAGCAGCACAATGTGGAGGTTTCCGTATCTGCCAGCTCCCTATGGGACCAAAAAATGGAACACACCAGCATGTGAGGAGACCTGAAAGTGGCACATTGCAGATGTTGGCGATGGAAGACAGAAGCAATGGGAGTCCGTACAGGTACGCATGAGACACTCTTGAGCCTGGCAGCACTTTAGGAGGCGGTACGGGGGCCCCCCTGGGGGATTAAGGGCCTGGGCACAGCAATGGGGGGGCCCGTAATTTTTCCCGCACCCTATGCCAAAAAATTTTTGGGAAAAAAAACCAGCAAGTGTGAGGAGACCTGAAAAATGGCACCCCTGGCAGAGTGTTTGGGGATGGAGAAAAGAACCAAAGGGAGGCCGTTTCAGGGACCCATGAGACACTGTGGGCCTGGCAGAGCATGAAAAGGGGGGTTTCAAAAGGGGGCCCCTGGCAGATTTGGGGGCCCGGCAGCAGCCAAAGGGAAAAGGCCCCCTAAAACTGCCAGCACCCCCATGACAAAAAATGGAACACACCAGCAGTGGGGAGACCCGAAAGGGGGCCATGGGAAGTTTTGGGCGTGGAGACAGCAGCAATGGGGGGCCGTCAGGGACCCATTTGACCCCTGTGGGCCTGGGCGCAGCATGGGAGGGGGTTCGGGGGGCCCCTGGGAGATTTTCGGGGCCTAGCAGCATCAATGGGGAGGCCGTAATCCTGCCAGCAACCCTATGACAAAATGGAACACACCAGCAGTGTGAGGAGACCTGAAAGTGGCAACATGGCAGAGTGTGGCGTGGAGACAGTCAGCAAGGGAAGGCCGTACAGGGACCATGAGAAGACTCTGGACCTGGCAGCAGCATGAGGAGGCGGGTACTGGGCCCATGGCAGATTACGGGCCTGTGCAGCAGCAATGGGAGGCCCCCTTAATCTGCCAGCAACCCTATGACAAAAAATGGAACACACCAGCAGTGTGAGGAGACCTTGAAAGTGGCACATGGCAGAGTGGTTGGCGATGCGACATCAGCAGCAATGGGAAACGGCCGTACAGGGACCCCCCATGACGAAGACTCTGGACCTGGCCTGCTGCATGAGGATGCGCGCACGGACGGTGGCCCATGTCAGATTGCTGGCCTGGGCAGCAGCAATTGAGTGAGGCCAGTAATCAGGCCAGCACCCTATGGACAAAAATGGGAACACACCATCCAGTGTGAGGAGTCCTGAAAGTATGGCATCATGGCACAGAGTGTGGGCGATGGAGACAGCAGCCAATGGGAGGGGCCCGTAACGGGCACCCAATGAGAGACTCTGGACCTGGCAGCAGCATGAGGAGTGGCGGTAACTGGGGCCCAATGGACAGATTACGGGCCTGGCAGCAGCAATGGGAGGCCCGTTAATCCCCCTGCCTGCACCCTATGACCAAAAATGGAAGTACACACCAGAAGTGTGATGGAGACCTGAAAGTGGCAACATGGCAGAGTTTGTATGTGGCGATAATGGAACAGCCAGCTAATGGGAGGCCGTACAGGGACCAATGAGAGACTCATGGACTGGCAGCAGCATGAAGGAATGCGGTACGGGTGGCCCATGGCAGATTAACGGGCCTGGCAGCAAGCAAATGGGAAGGCGCGTAAATCTGACAGCACCCTAATGTCAAAATGGAGACAGCACACAGCAGTGTGAGGAGGACCTTGAAAGTGGATACATGGCTGAGCTGTGAGCGATGGGAGCACAGCAAGCAATGGGAGGGCCCGTACAGGAGGTACCCATGAGACTCTTCTGGATACCTGGCAGCCAGCATGACGGAGGCGTGCGCGGTACTGGGCCCATGGCAAGATTTACGGGCCATGGGAAGCAGCAATTGGGAGGCCCGTAATCTGCCCAGCACACCCTAATGACAACAAAATGGAACACACCAGGCAGTGTGAGGAGAACCTGAAAGTCGGCCACATGGCAGAGTGTGGCGTGATGGAGACAGCAGTCAATGGGAGGCTCGTACAGGGACCCATGAAGACACTCTTGGACCTGGCAGCAGCATGAAGAGGCGGTACACAGTGGCCCCATGGCAGATTACAGGCCACTGACCTGCAGCAATAATGGTAGGCCCGTAATCTGCCAGATCACCCTATGGACAAAAAATGGAAAACACACACCAGCAGTGTGATGGAGACCTGAAAGTGGCACATGGCAGAGTGTGTGGCGATCTGAGACAGCAGCAATGGGAGGTACGTACAGGGACCCATGAGTCACTCTGAGAACCCTGGCAAGTCAGCATGAGGAGAGGCGGTGTACACGGGGCCCATTGGCAGATTACGGGCCTTGGGCAGCAGCAATGGGAGGCACTGCTAATCTGCCCAGCATCCTATGACATAATGGTAACACACCAGCAGTGTGAGGAGACCTGAAAGTGGCACATGGCAGTAGCAGAGTGTGGAGATGGAGACAGCAAGGGCAATGGGAGGCCGTACATGGACCCATGAGAGACTTCTGGACCTGGGCAGCAGCATGAAGAGGCGGGTACGGGGGGCCCATGGCAGATTCAGGCCTGGCAGCAGCAATGGGAGGCCCGTAATCTGCCAGCACCCTATTAAAAAAAAATGAGAACACACCAGCAGTGTGAGGAGACCTGAAAAGTGGGCACATGGCAGAGTGTGGCGATGGAGACAGCAGCAATGGGAGGCTGTACAGGGACCCATGAGACACTCTGGACCTGGCGCAGCCATGAAGAGGCGGTACAAGGGGCCCATGGCAGTTTTCAGGGCCTGGCAGCAGCAATGGGAGGGCCCGTAATCTGCCAGCACCCTATGGACAAAAAAATGGAACACACCAGCAGTGTGAGGAGACCTGAAAGTGGCACATGGCAGAGTGTGGCGATGGAGACAGCAGCAATGGGAAGGCCGTACAGGGACCCATGAGACACTCTGGACCTGGCAGCAGCATGAGGATGGCGGTACGGGGGCCCATGGCAGATTACGGGCCTGGCAGCAGCAATGGGAGAGGCCCGTAATCTGCCAGCACCCTATGACAAAATGGAACACAACCAGCAGTGTGAGGGAGACCTGAAAGTGGCACATGGCAGAGTGTGGCGATGGAGACAGCAGCATGGGAGGCCGTACAGGGACCCATGAGACACTCTGGACCTGGCAGCAGCATGAAGAGGCGGGGTACAGGGGCCTATGGCAGATTACAGGCCTGGCAAAGCAGCAATGGGAGGCCCGTAATCTGCCAGCACCCTATGACAAAAAATGGAACACACCACCAGCAGTGTGAGGAGACCTGAAAGTGGCACATGGGAGTGCAGAGTGTGGCGATGGAGACAGCAGCAATGGGAGGCCGTACAGGGACCCATGAGACACTCTGGACCTGGGCTGCAGCATGAAGAGCGGGGGTAGGTTGGTACAGGGGCCCATGGCAGATTACAGGCCTGGCAGCAGCAATGGGGAGGCCCGTAAATCTGCCGCACCCTATGACCACAAAAAATGGAACACACCAGCAGTGTGAGGAGACCTGAAAGTGGCACATGGCAGAGTGTGGCGATGGAGACAGCAGCAATGGGAGGCCGTACAGGGACCCATGAGACACTGTGGACCTGGCAGCAGCATGAAGAGGCGGGGGGTACAGGGGCCCATGGCAGATTACAGGCCTGGCAGCAGCAATGGGAGGCCCGTAATCTGCCAGCACCCTATGACAAAAATGGAACACACCAGCAGTGTGAGGAGGAACCTGAAAGTGGCACATGGCAGAGTGTGGCGATGGAGATGGAGACAGCAGCAATGGGAGGCCCGTACAGGGACCCATGAGACACTCTGGAACCTGGCAGCAGCATGAGGAGGGCGGTACGGGGGCCCATGGCAGATTACGGGCCTGGCAGCAGCAATGGGAGGGCCCGTAATCTGCCAGCACCCTATGACAAAAAATGGAACACACCACAGCAGTGTGAGGAGACCTGAAAGTGGCACATGTTTGGGGCATGATTCATACGCGGAATTTAGTCAGTTGTGTCAGGAACTGGTGGTTTGAAATCCAACTAATCCACGCCTGATTCATTTTCACAAACGTGAGTCTCTCCACACTTTGGGTGGAGCAGTTGTGTCCTCCACGGAGTTACAATACCTCCTGCCGCACTAAAACACGCGCTCCGATGCCACGCTACTGGGCCGGGCATGACAGCCTTTCAAGGGCAAATTCAGCTAGTTGGGGCCAAAGGTCAAGTTTCGTTGCCCAGTAGTCAAGGGGATTGTCTACCTTCGGTTGGCAGGGTGCTGTCCAAGTAGGCCCCAAGCCTGTTGTTTGAGGTCCTTGCTCCAGGTCCACCTGATGCTGCTGCTGCTGCGGCTGGTTAGTAGTTTCCTCACTGCGCTGGTGAAGAAAGCTACTCATCATCGACTGCAGACTGAGGCTGGTGAAGCTGCCACTGCCTCCTACCACCCCTCCCCCTCCCCTGCTGCCATGGCAGCGGAACGCGCGAGCGCACAGGGCCCACAGTGTCTGAGGATGGACGTTGGCGCAGAAAGGCAGAGACCAACTGACTACATAGGTGGTTTTTTATAGTACGTTATTTTGGCCCTCCCTCTCAGCAGGTGTGAAAAAGGCCACCACCATTTTTGAACGGTAGCGAGGGTCCAACAAGGTGGACAGCCCAAAAGTCATCCCTCTGTCTGATGGTTATTATTCGGCTGTCGCTACGGCAAGCAACCGAGCATGCTATGGGCCATTTGTGCCAAGGAATGCGAGGGACTCCCTGCCTCCATCTCCACAGCATACTGCCCACGGTGCGTCTGGGTCCTCTGTCTCCTCCTCCTCTACCAGATGCTCCTGCTCCTCCACTCCTGTCCGCTGAGTGGAAAAAACCACCCATTTCACTCAATTAATTCCTGAGCACCAATGTCCTCCTCTACCTCCTCCTCTTCTTCCTGTCCTGCCCCCACAGGGGTCATGTGGCGTTTGAGATCTGTGCGCCACGTCATTACCGCACCCTGACCAGCCATTGTTAACAGCATTTGTTCCAGGACGTGCAACAGAGGAATGACGTCGTTCATCCCATAGTCCTGCTGATCCACGAAATAGCGTTTGGCCTCCTCAAAGGGCCCTGAGCAAGCGGCAGGTGTCACGCATGAGCTGCCAATGGCTGACATCGAAGTTACACAGGGGAGTACCTTTATCCGCTTGTAACATCAGGAAATCGGTTTGATGGCCTTTCGCTGTTCGTTAAAGGCGGTCTAACATGTGTAGGGTTGAATTCCACCTTGTTGCAACGTCGCAGATCAGGCGATGCTGTGGAATTTTTCCGTTCTGCCACTGCAGCTCAAGGAGGGTGTGCTTTTGCGGTGTAGGGAAGATGGCTGAAATGCATGCAAAGTTTACGTGACATTTTAAGGATGTCTTGCAGTGGGATGGTGGATTTTAAGGAACCGCTTGGACGAACCAGATTGAACACGTGTGAGCCATGCATGGCGCATGGCACAACCTTCCTTGACGCAGAGTCAGACAACCCATGTTCTTTCCGTTGTCGGTCAACATGGTTCCGATTTTCAGTTTGCACGGAGACAGCCATCTGTCGATTTCTCTGTTCATTACACTCAGATGTTCCTCCACTGTGTGACTACGTTCGCCAAGGCATACCAGGTGCAGCACAGCGTGGACACCGTTGCGCCCTGCACATGTGATATGCCGGTCGGGTAATGGGACTTGGCACGGGGTGGTGGCGGCTGAGGGACACGGCGGAAGAAGAGGTGGTAGAGGCGCGACATCTTTTGTGGACCAAGGACGTGCAAACTCGTGGAGGCAAAAGCGGCGTGACCTGTCCTAGTTGCTGGTGCGGCTGTGCCAGCACCACGTTCACCCAGTGGGCCGTAAATGACATGGTACTGTCCCTGACCGTAGTTACAGCTCCACACGTCGGCGCTGCCGTGCACTTTGGCAGAGGACCGACATGCTCAAAGACTGGCCAACCATCTCTTCTACATGTGAATGCAGGGCTGGCACTGCCTTTTTGGCGAAGAAAATGCCGGCTTGGCACTCTCCACCGCGGCGCTGCACAAGCCATCATTTCTCGGAAAGGTGCTGAGTCCACCACTTGGAAAGGAGGGACTGCAGCACAGCAACTTGGACAGGAGGACGTTCAGCTTTTGCACCGTCGGTCGTGCGTGCTCGCAAACAACTGTTGGTCTTACTTGGAAAACGGATTCCAAGAAAGACTGCTGACGGAATCCGTGAAGAGGAGTAGCAGGAGAAGGAGCATCTGAACGAGCGGGAAAGATGCCAACGAGCGACAACTCCCCTCAGCAGAGGTGTTGGAGCCTTGACTGGCTGATAGAGGGCGATTGACGTCGGGTGGCGGAGCAAGTAACGGAGCGGGTGTTGGGAGCGGGGGGCTGGGCAAGGGCAGAACCGCCGTATCTTTATCACGGTTTTTCCAGGCCACAAATGGCGACGCTGCATATGCTGCCGCAACGCTGTAGTCCCAACATGGGCCCCTGGCCACGCTTGACTTTCTGGCCACATAGTCGACATACGGCTACGTTTACTTCCGCGGGCGGCTTGACGAAAAATTGCCACACCGCCGAGTAGGAAACTTTGTCCCCCGATAATCCTCACTGGCTGACTGTTACTTCCTCTCCGTGCACACCGGCACCCACTACTGGCGCCGTGGTGGTAGGCTGCAGTGGAGCTGGTGCATTTACTCCGTGGCCGTTTGCCTCCACTGACACTGCTGCGAACCCTGCTGCCTCCTGGGCAACCCACGACTGTTTTGCTCGCTGCCAAGCTGCCACCCTCTTCTAACTGATGATGCGGAAGCAATAAGCCTGAGAAATGACGACGAGGCTGCCAAGTTGCGATCAGCCTCATCATCATCAATTAGGGTCTCCGCCTCACTACTAGCCCCCTCGGCTTCGTGTGGGTCAGGAGACAGACCTGTCTCTAGACCGGCTACCGAGCCACTCTCCTCGCCAGTACTTCTTCGCCTGGCTGATGTGAAGAGGCGTATGTCTCCCCCGTTCCTGACGCCCTTTGTTAGCTCTTCCTCACTGTACAGTGGGGCTGAGCCCACAGCATGCGATACTTCGCTTGGTGAGGGAACACCAAAGGACAGGGGCAGGTAGAGGACACGTGATTTCAGTGGGCTTGCTCCCGGGCCCATGCCAACTAACGGTTGTGTCTGACAGTACCCACCGACCGTTGGCCTGTAGGTGTCAGAGGTGACCTGGGAAGAGGAAGACGACCGAGCCAACCAATCGATGACGGGCAGGGGGTTGTCGGTGGAGACACGACCGCTGGATGACACCGGGAGCACTGGCCTCTGGCTGCGACTAGTGCTGCCTCGACCCCTTTCCTCTGCTGCCACGTCGGCTCGCTCCTAAAAAACATTGCCTCCTCTGCCACTCCTCTGCATGTTTGTCTGACATACTCTTTTAATTCAACGATTCTGTGTCCCTGAGTAACAATTCTGTGTCCATGTGTAACAATTCTGTGTCTGTTCCCTGAGTAACAATTTCTGTGTCCCTCAGTAACAATTCTGTGTCCCTCAGTAAACAATTCTGTGTCCTCAGTAACAATTCTGTGTATGTCCCTGGGGTATACAATTCGGTGTCTGTCATGTGTAAACAATTCTGTCGGTGGGGGGGGGGGGGGGGGGGGTACAACGGGGGAAAAAAAAAAAAAAGAAAAAAAAAAAAAAAAAAAAAAAAAGAAAAAAAAAGGGAAAAAAAAAAAAAAAAAAAAGGAAAAAAAAAAAAAAAAAAAAAAAAAAAAAAAAATTCTGGATTTATAAAAAAAATAAAAAAAAAAAGGGGTCCCTCAGTAACAATTATGTGGGGGGGTCCCTCAGTGTAAAAAAAAAAAAAAAAAAAAAAAAAAAAAACAATTCTTTGTCCCTCAGTAAACAAAAAAAAGAAAAAAAAAAAAAAAAATTCTGTGTCTGTCTCTGAGTAACAATTCTGTTGTCCTGAGTAACAATTCTGTGTCTGTCCCTCAGTAACAATTCTGTGTCCCTCAGTAACAATTCTGTGTCCCTCAGTAACAATTCTGTGTCCCTCAGTAACAATTCTGTGTGGCCCTGAGTAACAATTCTGTGTCCCTCAGTAACAATTCTGTGTCTGTCCCTGAGTAACAAATTCTGTGTGTCCCTCAGTAACAATTCTGTGTCTGTCCCCTGAGTAACAATACCCCCAACTGTGTGTCCAATGGTAACAATTCTGTGTCCCTGAGACCGCGTAACAATTACTGTGTCCCTCAGTAAACAATTCTGTGTCCCTCAGTAACAATTACTGTGTCTGTCCCTCAGTAACACATTCTGTGTCCCTCAGTAGTAACAATTCTGTGTCTGTCCCTGATAAACAATTCTGTGTCCCTCAGTAACAAATTCTGTGTCCCTCAGTAACAATCTCTGTGTCTGTCCCTGAGTAACAATTCTGTGTCCCTGTAGTAACAATTCTGTGTCCTTGAGTAACAATTCTGTGTCCCTCAGTAACAATTTCTGTGTCTGTCCCTGAGTAACAATTCTGTGTCCCTCAGTAACAATTCTGTGTCCCTCAGTAACAATTCTGTGTCTGTCCCTGAGTAACAATTTCTGTGTCCCCAGTAACAATTCTGTGTCCCTCAGTAACAATCTGTGTCTGTCCCTGAGTAACAATTCTGTGTCTGTCCCTGAGTAAACAATTCTGTGTCTGTCCGGAGTAACAATTCTGTGTCCCTCAGTAACAATTCTGTGTCCCTCAATAACAATTCTGTGTCCCTCAGTAAACAATTCTGTGTCTGTCCCTGAGTAACAATTCTGTGTCCCTCAGTAACAATTCTGTGTCCCTCAGTAACAATTCTGTGTCCCCTCAGTAACAATTCTGTGTCTGTC